ATTCGGTGCTGTTTCTAGAGTTAGTATTAGAAAAAGGTTATTGATTCACACATTGACTTACACAGGAGAAAAATAGAAAATTCAACATATAAAATGATTTTTTTTTTTTTGGCATTATAAATTATACACCGAACATCAGTTCCACAAGCAGTAATGCAATTTTACTATGAACTATGAAGAAGTCTATCTATGATGAAGATCTGCACTTTGACAATCAAACACCTCCAATATGCCTCAATATCACCCAGAAACATAATTATGAGCATTTAAGTTGAACACACATACTATCAGAGATAAAGACATAATTAAAGATTAAGAACAACACAGTGAAAACATCACACATCTATCCCTTCTGACATGATTGAAAATCATTGATGATTCATTAAAAAATGTAAAAATGTTGTTCTGGAGGCTTGACCTTAACTGCCATATTTTTAATGGGTGAACTAAATCGCATGTAGTTCAGATTAATCATTGTTGCATACTGACTGCATTTGTCACAACTAAAAAGATTAATTGCACAAGGTTATACACATAAAACTAATCTAAACTAACACTCCCCTGGGAAAAAAAAAACAAAAAAACAAACTTGCCTTCCCTTGATTTTTTTGCTCATACATATTGTAAAAGATGTAATGTGTATGTCACACCCTATGGACCTGTTTTGTTGTATTTTCATCCCTCATGTGTTCATTGACCCTGTTTCTGTCTCTCTCTCGTTAGTTAGTTCCTTGCGCCCATATTTACATTTACATTTACATTTAGTCATTTATCAGACGCTTTTACCAAAAGCGACTTACTAATGAGAACAATAAAACTTGCAGAACGCAAGCTTCTAGAGGGCACATAACTCTGAAGTATGTGAACATATTTGGTTACTCTGAACATATTTGGTTATGTTCCTGTTCTCGTTATGTCGTTATTAGTTCATCCTCTTCACCTGTCTGTCCCTCATCAAGCTCCCCTATATTTAGTCAAGTCTGTGCATTCTGTCTTTGTCCAGTGTTAAAGTTGAGTTGTACGTGTGTTACCTGCCTACCTTCTGTGGATTCCTTCTGTGTGGTTTATATTAAAGATTATTTGCATTCATCTTTGTCTTCATCGTGCGCTTATCACACTGTACCGTGACAGTGTATGAATATAATAATGCTATATAAACAAACTATAATAAGTGCTAATAAGAGGCCAACAAGGGGGCCTCAGCAAAGATAGCTGCAAGATAATTTAAACGTCTTTAGGTTATTTAATAATATTAAATTATATTAAAATAATACAACTTACACTGCCATTCAAAATTCAACTTTGCATGACAGGAATAAATTATATTTAAAATTGTATTAAAATAGAAAACCGTTATTTTAAACTGCAATTATATTTCACAATATTTTTATTATTATTCTTATTTTATTTTTATAAAAGGTTTTTTTTTCAGTTTTTTGGATCAAGCAGAAGAGACTTCTTTAAAAATCCTACTGATCCCAAACTTTTGAACAGCACTGTATTTTAAATGCTAGAATATTAGGCCTATAACATACTGTAAATTGATGACATAATGTATGCACCACTAAGCTTTAACCTGGACATTTCTTTTCCCCAACGAAAAGTCTGCACAGACTTTTTTCTTTTTCTTTTCACTACTGTGAGTTTCATTCCACACCCATCCAATCCAAATTTTACTGAGTATGTTCACAGAATTCAGCATTAAAATGTCTATAAAAGTAATGCTCAGTTTCCATAAAGTGCTATTTTTTTTAATTAAATCTGGTGTTTTTGTCATTCATTGTTTAAAAATGTTGGGTTATTTTTGGTCTTTTGGATCTTGACAGCAACTGGAGTGGAAAATGAAAGATTTTTCATGTTAAGGGTAAATTATTTCTTAAACCTTCTTTTTAAAAATCAGCATGGACAGAACAAAAAACTTGGTAATTGAGGTTTATGTTTAAAGATATGGAAATAAAACAAACGATAACAATATGGCCCCTTTTTATATTACATATAATATGAGATATATACTATGATTTAACTTGATCACTCAAAATATTTAATTACAGTTTCCAACTGACTCTATGCAATTGTGGACAGTTTGTGTGAGGTGTGAAATTTCTGGTCAGAGAACTACCCCTGCTGTACCTGTTGCTGGTCACCAGAGGCTGTGCAGGACGGAAAGGGGGCCCATATATTGGTTCTTTTGGCACTGAAGAAAAGCTGTTGGTAGGGGATGTAACAGCTATTACAGGCTCCATCTCCTGTGGGCCACCAACAGACTCATAGAAAACTCTTTGCTTCCATTCTGCTGGTGTTTCTGGTAATGATTTTCTGTGAGTAGCAGAAATGTTGGACTCATCAGGACCAAAGGGGCTTTGAGAAACTGCCTCCACAGAGGAGAGTGTTTTTTTGGGCTGTTCCACCCATGAATATTGCCTGTTCAGTGATTGACGTGTTGAATGGACACCTGGTGTGAACACAGAGGAAGCGGGAGACAGAGAGGACAGTCTCTGGGGGAAAGACAAGGAACGGCTCCTGCTGAATCCCTAGAGAAAGAAAGATAGCCATTCACAATTATTTCAGTAGTAAATATAACACACATAAACAAATATACACAAGTTTGCAAATATGAGCAAATAATCACACATTTTAGTTTGTAGCACAAATCGTCACTTCTGTATTTCTTACAATACATTTTACATCAAAAAAATACATGAAAACATGCATTTTGACTGCCCTCTCCTGGACTATGTCTGTAAATGCTATTTAGAGACATTGCTAATTTTGGTTCAGGGGAGGTCAGGGTTGGTTGGCACCGGATTAATTCTGGGTTATAATTAGATACTGTCAAAATATTTTTCTGATGGTTGCACACTTCAAGCTTACTGATTCTATGAAGACACGAAAGTTAGAGACTGGTAAATGTGTTTTTATATATATATATATATATATATATATATATATACAGTGCACAGCATAAATGAGTACACCCCCTCAAATTCAGCAATTACTCTTTACTTAGAAGACATGTTAAGGTTCTTTAGAGATATAATGTTCCAACAAGTCTGCTTGATCGATTACAAAAAAAGAATGTCAAAATTATTCAGGAAAATAAGATTTTCTTATTAAAGTGGTAAAATGTTGTGTTGTAAAACTGAGTATACGCCCTCCTGAAAGTTACTAAACAAAAAGGCAATTTTTGATCAACAGGTAAGTATGCTGAACCAAAACTTTTAAAGACAAGTAATTTCCTGACTATTAAAAGTGTTATATAGTCTACTGAATCATACTCAGACTTAATGCTGACAACAATGGGAGAGCACTGCCAGGAGACTTATTTCGTAGCACAAAAGAGGACAATGGTACTAGAGGAATACCAACTCATTGTTTTAAGTGTGAAAATATTGCAAAAGTAACACCGACATTCAAAAACAATGGACTTGTGACAAGGCACCTGAAATAATCAGGCTTTCACTTTAAGTTTTCATTTAGTGAGGGTTTTTTTTTTTTTTTGCTAAAAAAAGAGAAGGAGAAATACCATGCAAGTGTCTCAGAGCCAGCAAAAGCCGTGAAAAGAGTGACTGTTTATCTCACAGAGTAAGATGCAGCCTGCAGAAGTGACATGCATGGTTGTTGTCACCACAGAAACTACCTACTGTAGCCAAAGCACAATGAACTCATTTAACCTTTTCCAAGGCTCATATTTACAAAATATAGACTTCTGGGAATTCATACTCTGGTCTCAAGAGACCAAGTCAATAATTTTGGATCCAAAAGCATCCAAAATGTTCTGGTGTTGCTAGAGGAGGCATACAGTGAGAACTGTCTTTTTCCCACAATGAAGTTCAGTGGTAGAAAAAACGCTTATATAGGGATGAAAGAGTGCTGAGGGAGTTGTGCTTTATCAATGCTGTCATGAATTCACACACCACTGTGTGATGTAATACAAAAACTTGAAACAGAAGATGCTACCCTCTCCTCATTCCCTGAGTTCTTGGCCATTTTTTCAACATGACAATGATGATATGCATTCTTTCAATGTGAAAATCCTTCAGTGGACATGTATTTCACCCACTCTTAACATTCTTTAGCACCTGTGGGGGATTCTGTAGAGACAAATTGAGCAACACTCCCCATTAAAGACCAGAGCATTTAAGGAGGTCAGCCTCCAGGAGTTAAACAGGACAGACGTGGCAATTTGTCTTCGAACTTGTACGCTCAGTGTCAAGAAGGACTGAGTTTACATCATTTTGTATTAAAAGTTTACACAATTTTTCACTAAAAAAAGGTTTATACTCTCAGTTTGGGAAGGTGGGGGAACTTCATTGAAAAAAAACGGTGATGTCAAATCATAGAGTAAGCTCATTTCGCTCAAGTGTTGTCATTAAAGATGTTTTTTTAGTCTGTTTGGTGTTGAGTTGAGGGTGAGGTTATTTCAGCACTTACCTCTGGTTAGAGGCACCTGACTAGTTAAGAAGTGTAAGACCAGTAAGATCAGATGGCTAAGCAGAAGTGGTGTCTTAATAGGGTTTGTGTGTTTCTAACATAGTGGAGCAAGAGCTATTTTTAAAATGAGCTATGTGCAGAGTTAAGAAAACCACAGCCCCAGTCCGCTGCAAGCTACCTATAGTATATCAACAATCTGTGAAGAACACAATTAATCTGACAAAATACAGACCTGCTAAAGCTGTTCAAAATGATAGTATACCAATGGAAAATCTTATCATTTAAGTTCGTTTAAAGATTTTTGTGTTATTAATATGTACTATTTGTTGACCCAGTATAGTACTTTTTGCCGCAAGGTGTATTGTTATTACACTGAAGGAAAATATTGTGCTTTTTTCATTTATGGGCTGGTCTTTGCGGGACTTTACCAGATAGAAAGCAGAGTAACATGAGGGAAATACCAGAAAGAGAACTCGTGGAACAATTGGCAAGCAATTAGAGAGCACAGAAAGCACTGGAAAGCAAATAGAGAGCACAGAAAGCATTAAGTGAAACAGAGCTGATGGAAATATTTATTAAACAGAAGAATCAGGAAGTGCAATAGTTTTGAAATGACAAGGGGAAATAACAACAGAAGTAACAGTTCATAATGATATTTGAATTAGTACAAATAAATATGCTAAAATATATTCTGTACACCCATCCTTTGTTCACTGTATCTGAACAGCAGTGTCAGCTAAATGCATAACTATTTAATTTTAAAAATATATAACACATATAAAGTATTCTGAATTCTATTATTAGATTTACTTCAAATGTCCACAAAAAAATGGTCTTAAAACCATGTACTGGCAGAACCTGTGAAAGGGTTTCCTCACTACACCAACAACTGATTTGGAGGTTTGACGAAATTGCAAAGCAGGCTCAATCCTAGGGGAGATCTAGTATATTGACCTGAAACATTGCATTTAATGCTTTTAACACAGATTGTTTCATTGGTGCTTTGCCTGGCCAGACAACATGGCTGACCAATAAGTTTACATTTCTTTTTACCATCCAGGAACACTTGGCATAATGTGGTAAATGTGTTGTGTTGCTATACACAAGACAAAGAGAAAATGTTTAACAGTTTTTCTCTAAAAAAAATAAAAAATAAAATAAACTTAACTGTCATTAATGTGGAAACATATCACAATAAAACTTAAACTAATAAAAAAATCCATCTAATCTATAAATGCTATAAATAGTACAACTGTTATATAATGTAGGGAATTCTTATCTTGTGCATTGAGTCATTTAAAGGGTTATGACTTCAGGAAACAAATTTTCTTGGATCTTTTGAGTTGATTGTACTATAAAAAAAAATTGAACTAATAAAACTGCAAAAACAGCACTTTTTTAATCTGGCAAAACATATTGTTTTGAATATATGCTTAAAAAACTCAATTAATGTTGCAAAATTACTGGTTTCCATTTCTTGCCTCCAGTGTTTGACATTTTGGCCGAAAACTTTGGTCTTGGAGCCACTGGTAATGCACACCGTGAAGCATATTCATTATTCACGGGTAAAGAAGACCCTACACAGACATTGCCCCCAGAGATACCAGGAGGCAGGGAGGAGTTTGAGATGCCTTTGTTTCTAGGGCCATCGTGCATGGCTAGTTTTTTCCCATGTAACTGTTGTGGAATAATGGTGGCTTCATTTGATGTAGAATGACGAACAAAGGGGTATAGAACACTTACCTCTCCAGTGGCTTTAGATGAATTTCGCTTAACTGACTGCAAACTATTTGGGGAGGGGGAGAATGCTGTAGAGGGCTCATAAGCAAGGGACTGGAAACTGGTAGGGGTTTGAGCAGAAGTTTGCTTAGACTCTGTAGGGGGAACTGCTTCCTTGGCCTCTGGAGTGGAGTTGTAGGTGAAAAGCGAGGAATTCAACTGATAAGGCTGATGTTTCATAACATCCAGAACATTGAGATGTTTGGGTGGTGGATTCTTCTGCTCCTTGTTTGCTTTAGACTTTATCTTTGGACTAGTTGCAGGAGGGGGTTGTTTAACCGCTGCAAGGGGATAAAAAGGGGACAAAATAGGATTGTAGGAGACTGGAGGTGGGGCACGGACATTAGAAGAGTATTTCCAGGTGCTTGGCATTGAAAATGTTGGCGATGAGGATCTGGCTTTGTTGGCTCTCACAGTCTCATCGTCCACCACAAATTTTTCCATACGGGACTGTCTTCGAGCAAACAGTTCAGCTCCTTTTCCTTTAAGGTTCAGTCCCTCAGAAGCACCTGCATCTGATGAGTACCCTTTAGGAGAAGATGATGGAGCCTTAGATCCCTGAAAGTATGTGCTCAGGCGTTGGGGTGGGCAGGAAGCAACAGAGTTACCATCACTTGATCTAATCCATGATGTTTTAGACTGGGAAGGACCAGCACAGAGTGAATCTGGTGTATGTTTTGCCTGATGTGGTTCTGGAGTCCAGGCTGGTTGATGCAGATCTGGTGTGTGGGATGGAGCCCAAGCAGGTGATGCCTCCTGTGGTATCGGTTGAGATGACAATGGGGACCAGGCTTTTCCAGCAGGCTGCTTTGGTGGGTTTTGTTGGGGTACTGCCTGCACCTGGGTGTGCCCCATAGCTGGAACTGAGCTTGATGCTGCAAGGGGGCTCTGAGACACGGCACGACCCTCTGCAGACCAAGGAGGGTGAGCTGGGTTGATGGCAGGTTTGGGTGGAACAGGTGGAGGGTTTTTCTGTTTGATTTTTGGAGCTTGCATGAAATTGCATGCTTCTGCACCCAGACTGAGAAAGTCTTCTTCTGGAGCTGACTCTGTTAAGGACTTCTGATCACCTTTTTTCTGAAGCAGAGGCTTCTCTTTTGAGTCTGTCTTGTTTGCTCCTCTCCTTTTAGTTTCTGACAGGATCCCTGTTTTAATTGCAGGTATAGCAATACGTTCATCACGTGAAGCAATGGTGTCTGATGTGGGGGACCAAACCTGTGGGGTTGTGTTTACTGGAACAGGAACCTTGAATATGTTTTCAGGTTTCCTAGATGTTGGGCTTGAGACACCGCTGACTGGTGAAAAAGTTTTTTGTCCTTGATTATGACCACCCAGAAAGGGCTTAGCAGTTCTGTTGGAGACAAGGGATCTGGAAACAGCCGAACCTTGATATGGATCCAGACCATTCATACCGTTTGCTGATTGTGGTAACATCTGTTGCTGAAATGACTGGTCTTGATACTGTTGTTGTTGCCTTACATAGATATCTTGTGGGGCTTGTGTACTTTCTTCCTGCGGAGGAGGTTTAACAGTTTCGTCTTCTGGTTCAACAAACGCATCCATTGGTATGCCTTTTCGTCTCATTTTCTCTTGTTCTGCGGAAAGCTCATCCATCCTTTGACGCCTCTTGGCAAACATCAAGACTCCCTTTCCTTTTGTATGTGGAAGATGCTCCATTGTTTCCAAGTTTGACTTGGTCTGTACTTTGAAATTCTGTTGTAGCTCAAATCAGTCCTGTGGTTCTAAATATTAAATGAGCAGGATTCTTCTCAGAATCAGTGGCAATCTGTCCTGACTTACTTTGTAGTGTACAATCTCATTCTCGTCCTGAAATCTGTCTTTGAGAAGCTGTACCAGTAGCTAACCAGTGTGAAGCTTCTTACCCTTTTTTGATGCCCTTCTTTTTGGCAGCAGTAAAAAGCAAAGTGTTAGAGTTGGCTTTTTTCAGCTGTCTCACTGACTGTGCCTCACTCCATCTTAGTCCTGTGAAAGAAAAATTAGAACAAGGAAATATAGAAAATGGCATGAGAATTATGAAGCATGGAATTACACTCCATACAGGAATTATTTAAAAAATTGACCAGATTCATACATTAACAACATAATGCAACATGGCATCATGGTGCACCTTGCATTTTGCATATGTCATCTCATAATAACCATGGTAAATACATTAAGCATTAATAGTATTATTACACAATTTTGATATTATATCATTTTTTTATTGAAATGGCATTTAGATAAGATTTAAATTCAGTGAGCACTTTTTTTCTGTTAGTTTACAATGATACGTTTTTCTGCATATTTTAATAAAACCATCAAAATGTCATCACACAAGCCTCAGTAGAATATTTTTAGCTGGGTTAGTTGAAAAACATTAAAGCCATTTAACCATTTTTAATTGACTAATTTAAGATTAATTCTACTAATCTGGTCTCTTGTCAGATACATTAACATTTCCAATTGCATGAATTATATCCAAATCCAATTTTCTCAAACAAATGATCTAATACTATTTATATATTTTAGAATACAGGTTGTTTATTTCCTAAATTTAAGTGTATTCAAATGCAGCTTTAAAGGTACACTCCACTATTTTTGAAAATAGGCTCATTTTCCAACTCCCCTAGAGTTAAACAGTTGAGTTTTACCGTTTTCGAATCCATTCAGCCGATCTCCGGGTCTGGCGGTAGCACTTTTAGCTGCAGCTTAGCATAGATCATGGAATCTGATTAGACTGTTAGCATCTCGCTCAAAAATGACCAAAGAGCTTCGAAAAAACATTTAAAACTTGACTCTTCTGTAGTTACATCGTGTACTAAGACCGACGGAAAATGAAAAGTTGCGATTTTCTAGGCCGATATGGCTAGGAACTATACTCTCATTCCGGCGTAATAATCAAGGAACTTTGCTGCCGTACCATGGGTGCAGCAGGCGCAATGATATTACGCAGCGCCTGAAAATAGGCTAACTTCCGCCAACATAACCAATGTGACCACCTGCTTGCACAGGGAGCGTGCCCCTAGATGTGGATCCAACCACGGCCCCTGGATCTTGTGCTCTGCAGTGAGGGGCTACTGGTGCCTTCCGTTGGAAGTTACCTAGCTGGGGACTATTTTCAGGCTCTGTGTAATATGGTACGGCAGCAAAGTTCCTTGATTATTACGCCGGAATGAGAGTATAGTTCCTAGCCATATCGGCCTAGAAAATCGCAACTTTTCATTTTCCATCTTAGTACACGATGTAACTACAGAAGAGTCAAGTTTTAAAAAGGAAAAATATCGAAACTCTTTGGTCATTTTTAAAGCGAGATGCTAATGGTCTAATCAGATTCAATTATCTATGCTAAGCTGCAGCTAAAAGTGCTACCGCCAGACCCGAAGATCGGCTGAATGGATTCGAAAACGGTAAAACTCAACTGTTTAACTCTAGAGGAGTTGGAAAATGAGCCTATTTTCAAAAATAGCGGAGTGCTCCTTTAAATAAGAAGCAAGAATGAGGGAATCCCTCATATTATTCTGAAGAAAATTAGCACAAACTTACATTAAATCCAGGCAATCTATCTTCACAACAAACAAACTAAATAATAATAATAATAATTTTCTAAGGCTTACACTTGGCTTTCTAACAGTCAGCCTAGTCCAAAGCACCCTGACTTACTGAAAGCTTTTTTAGGTGAACAAACATTGCGAGCGGTAATAAAACCCCTTGGCTAAAGTGGGTATCTGTGCAAACTGTGTAAGTGCTCTGTGGTGGGGTGGCAGGACTGTGAAAGACAGAGAGAGAGAGAGAGAGAGCAAGAGCAAGAGAGAGAGAGGTGGTGTCCACTATTTAACGGGGTCAGGTCTCATCACCAAGGGATCGTATGACAAATCTCTACTGACACATGCTGGTGCCTGTCAAACCCGTGGCCTGAGGAATACTGCAGGAGCACACTTTTATTTACATATCTCTCAAATGCTGGTTTAGCATATGACTTGCCTCATCCATCCCAAACCATTACTAATATTGACAAATGATTTGCGATTTTTAAATTTGTAATTTCTATTTTACATATAGATGCCATTACTTCTAACTGCATATTTAACCAGCAATTCGGACCTAATAGCAAAACTTAACAATCCTTGATGTTTCAATCTGTAAGGACATTCGTGCAAGTTTATAGCATATCACCATATTTAGAGGATGCATTGCCTAGTACAGCAACAGAAACCCCTATTTCAGAATTGGTTGGTTATTTCTGTCCAGGCACTCTAACTGTCAATGCATGCTCATGCAAGCAAGTACCTTAACCAGCCAAATGATGAAATCTTAAAATAAAATGTGTCCTTTTAAATTATATTTTTACATTATATTTTATATTGCTTTAATTCACCATTTTAGGTATATAAGATGAAGTATATAAGGTATTAAGTATTTAATGTATTCAAATTTACATTACATTTATTTTATTAGATGGCATTAGATAACAGTAGAATACTGACCATCACTGAAGAAGTAAAGAAAAAAAGAAAGAAAAAACAGACAGATATAGACAAGACAGCCTGAAGGACTGATTTGGAGAAGGTTTTTGTCTTACGTGCCTGTCTTGCTTGGTGTCTGCTGAGTCGGATCAGTTCCGTCAAGGAGGCAGTGTCCCACCACTCTGCCTGCTCAGTACCCTGGACTTGAATTCCACTTGACACACAGAAGGTCCCACACCTCTCTCTCCTCCTTCTCCACCGTCTCCTCCTCTTCTTCTGCCTTTTTCCACTTCTTCAGTTTCCAAGAAATTAAAATGTTCCTGCTTCAAGTTCTTGCTGGGTTCTAGTGAGAACCTGTACTAGAAGAGCTGTAGTCCACTGGACTCTTTTGTCTTGTTTAGATATAGGGAGACAGGTACTTTAAGGAGGGTCCATCAGTTTTTCACTGTGTGAGTGGGGAGTTTGCCTCTCATCCTGGAGAGGGTTTTAGGACTGGTGTCAAAGCACACTGATAGAACCATCCTTTAAGTGACCAGAGGTGCTTGGTGGGGCTCTTGATGCTTGATTACACTTTCTGTCTCTCCACAATGGAAATAGAAAGATGCAGTGGGGCTGTCTGACCTTGTCCATGTGTCTGAGTTGCCCTTAAGGCCATTCCAAAACAATCCATGAACACAAATAACTTTGGTAACACTTTTAACACTATTGAGAGTTTTCCCTCAATTGCTGCTTACTGATAGTAAGGTGGTTGTTTGTAGTAGTTGTGTTTAGGTATTGGGTATAGGTTTAAGGGATCTTGAATATGGTCATGCAGAATAAGGCATTAATATGTGCTTTATAAGTAAACAGCCAATATGCTAGTAATGTGCATTCTAATATAGTGAATAGTGTTCCCTAATCTAAAGTGTTACCATAACTTACATTGTAGTACAGAGAGCACACACACATGCAGAACATACAGGGATAAAAAACATGGAATATACAATATAAATGACCAATGACATCCATTTAATTACAACATTTGCTCATCTGCATTGAGCCACTGAATGGATATTTACAGAGAACAATAACTAAGATATAAAAAGCATTTAAAGAATTTCTTGGCACAAAATCCTTTGCTGTTCCAGATGCTTAACTGCAAAGTAATGTTGTGCTGCAAATAAGCACAACCTGCTGTAACACAGCCCTAATATAGGCAAGTGAATCAAATGGCTTCTGGGATATTATAAACCGATTGTGAGCCGTGAAACTCAGAAACTTAACTTGCAGAGAAATGTATTCTCAGACTCTTTTTAGATCTCAGACTCTTTTTGCTATTGTATAGAAAAGACTAAACAATATATCCATTGAGCAACTGTATAATTCAGCCCACTCATGCAATATCTAACACATTCTTCTTGATACACATCTTACTGTTAGACAACAGAAAAACTAAAATATCAATCAAGTATGATTATAAAAAAAGATCTAAAAAGCTTATAAAAAAACATACTGACTTAGTGTTTTTGTCTAAACTATGAACACCTAAAATGATGCGCAGATGTATTTGGTGATTTGGTGAAGGAACAATAAGTCTAATGGAGTGAATTCATTCCTCTTCCTCAATAGGGAGTCTGCAGCACTGTCTGGAAAGCCATCAGCTCTCCTGCTCTCTCTAGAAGGAATGGTATTCACTGTTTGTGTATAAATGTTAAACTAGCATTTGTGTCCTGGAAGCCAAACACAACAGTGTGGTGGCTGTTTTCCATATTGTATGCTCTGTAGGCCATATTTTGTCCTCGTGATGGTCCTCACAAAGTCTCATTGCCATTTATGTCTCAATATGCATATACAACATGGACAGAGATATAAAGGATATGAATGGGGGGGAAATCTAATTATACAGTTATAGTTACAGCACCCAAGTGTTTGCACAATGTGATGACATTTTACTTCATATGACCAGTGTAGTTTACTGTACAGTCCATAAAATGCATTTGCTTATTGTCTTTTATATTGCAATATTGATAACAGAATGTTGCTTGTATATAGCCTCTAAATTCAGATAATAAGCACAGCCTGCAGGAACCAGGGATGGCACATCATAAATAGTTATCATACAGTACATGTCATGTGACAAAAAACATGATGTCATTCTTATCTCTGACAGACAGCTGTTTCGGCATCAGTTTTATTAGGCTGACCTTTAACCTTTAGCTGACAGCACACCTGCTGATCAAGGAAATATTTCAGCTGGACAAAATGGCTTTGATATGTGATAGTCTGATATGAGTCAACACATGCATACATATCATCTTATACCCGGGCCCAGGGCCACTGCTAATGGGATACTGTTAATTATTTAAACATATCAAATCAAGATATTTAATTGTAGGTCTACTGTATACAACAACAAAAACAAAAAGTGGAAAACATTGTGGAGCACCAGCTCAGTTTTCCCACTTTTGCAACTGAAATAGAAAGCTTTTGTAGCATTTACACTATGGTTCAAAAGTTGTGGTCAGTGAGATTTTTTTTTCTTTTTTTCTTTCTTTCTTTTTTTTCTTTTTTTTTTTTGGAAAGAAAAGAATGAAATTCATATTTTTATTCAACATGGATACATTAAATTATTCAAAATGGACTGTAAAGACATTTAAAATGTTATAAAAGCTTTCTATTTCAGCTAAATGCTGTTCTTTTGAACTTTCTATTCATCTGAAAAAAACACATGTTTTCAACAATGATAATAATGATTTCTGAAGGATCATGTGATACTGAAGGCTGGAGTAATGATGCTGAAAATTCAGGGAATTATTGCATGGTTCTCACAGGCAATGCAAGAGTGGCCCTAGTAAGATAGTTCATGTTAATTCAAACTCCTGAGAGCAACTGGATAGTCCATCCAAAAATACGTTCACAGGGTTGGTAAGTGATTCTGTCACACCAGTCTTAAGTATAGTGTTCACGTGTTATGGTTATTCTAAAACTGTGATAGTTAAAAAAATGGCAGGGGGACTGATTCCACAGATTTAATTACTTTAATAATAATAATAATGATAATAATAATAATAATAATAATATGCTTAATGTTTATAGCTCCTTTCAAGAGCCCAAGGACGCTTCACAAAATAAATACAAACAATTGGCAAACAAAATACATCAGACAGTTGCTTATTGTCTTTTATATTGCAATATTGATCATAGAATGTTTAAACTGGTTACATTATTTTTAAGGAGAATGAAGAGGATTTCTGCATCTTTTGTTGCTGAATTTGGACTTTTGTGCATGCAGCCAGTGGGAATGTGTCTCTACTAGTGTGCAATCTCAGACAGAAAGAAAGTCTTTAAGAAAGTCAATTGAATCTGTTAGGTCACTGTTAGCTAATCAGTAACTACTATTTTTTTCATACCTCCCAGAAACGTGCTAAGGAACTACATACAGTTTCATAAAGTAACACCATTCATAAAGTTCTCACCATTGACTACTTGCTTATTAGCATGCCTATTAATAACATATTGACTCTAGCCTATATTAGTACTTATAAAGCACATCTTCTGCATGACCATATACATCCCTAATCCTACCCAATACTTAAACTTAACTTACTAACTATTAATAAGCAGCAAATTAGGAGTTTATTGAGGCAAAAGTCATAGTTAATGGTTTGTTAATAGCGAGAATTGGACCTTAAAATAAAGTGTGACTGTTTCATAATTATTATGAATAATGCATAATTAATTCAAAAGTGAAGATCATAGTAACCCACTAGTAATTACTCAAGTATTACCAAATCCTTCAGAAGGGATTACTAATTATGTTATTAATTATTTGGAACAGTATTCCAAAGTAAAAAGCATGATAACTTACTAGTAATGACTGAGCTTATTGTAAGCTTTTGAGATTTTGTAAGGTTTTGGATAGTATTTCCTTCTGATAGATTTGTGGACCTCAAGGGCCAGAGTTGAGACCCCCTTCAGTAAAACATAAATTAAAATGTGATTGTCATGTTAGGTTATAAATTGGATGTAGGCAGTAATTTTAGTGAACACACTGTAAATACTTGAGGGGAAAAAAGATGGTTCAATATAATACAGAAAATCATAGTAGAATAAGTGAGTAATGGCAGAATTTTAAAGGGATGCCTTTGGGTAAAGTTATGGAATACTCAGAAACCAGAGGAACTTTCAAATGTGTTTAATGCAGAATTAAAGAATCACTAGGATGATGAGAGCAGTAATGTTCAGTGTTCGGGGGGTCGGGGGGCCCTTTTGGTCTGATCTTGGTGACCCTGGACCATGATTTCTGTGCCCTCATTATGTGATTTCTCCCCTGCGATTTCTCTCTGCATGCCACTGGATGAGAGTGTGTTGTGAAAACACAACTGCTATAAAATAAGAACATTTTCTCTATACTACATTACATTTTAATACTTGCTTCCTCTTGTTGGAATCCTTTCATATTATTTTATGTAATAACTGTCACGTGGATGTCTGAGACTGTTATAGTCTGACTTTGCCCACTGAATTACTGAATTACTAATGCTGAGCTGAAGAAAGAAATTTATTAAAAATTGGCAGCAATCAAAATGTTATACATTTGCTTAAATCAAGGCAGCTGGCATTTATTATTTTATTACAAGAGAATATAACACTTACAATAAACAATAGTAAACTGTATTAAGTGTTACATTTTGCAAATGACTACTAAAATCTTATTATTCCTCTGAGACAAGAGTTACATTTTTCAAATATCTAAAAAGTCACACATAAAATTAATTTGGACTGCATTTTCATTTATATAGTCCATTGGAATGCACCATTTGGATGCCATGTACTGGTACCACCTCTCATCATTTGCCAATAACTGCATGTTTTGTACCTAAACCTTTTCAATTTCAGATCTTTCAACAGTGTCATTTCTACTGATAAAAGTAGAATGAACAAAATAACTATTATGTCCGAAGCCAATGACACTACACTGTTAAACATTTCCTGTAGAAATTACAGTAACTTACTGGCAGCAGTTCGCCAGTAACTTACTGTAAATTAAACTTACAGTAAAAGTACTGTATTAATAATTACAGTATCATTTAACTTATGTATACTGTACTTTTAGTTTTTACTGTAAACTATACAGTAATTTTATGGTCTTTTCTTCAGTAACGTATTGAAATAAAAGAAAAAAATAATTTAATTATTTTATGAAAATAAGCAATGAC